GGGGCAGCACCAGGGGTGAAATCGAGCAGGTTCTGACAGGTTCTGGAGAACCGGTAGCGGAAATTTTGAGTAGTTTGGAGAACCAGCAAATGCCACCTCTGGCTGGCCCCAGAGTGGGGAGGGAATGGAGATTTTGCAATATCCTTCCCCCAGGAGTGGGGAGGGAATGGGGATTTTGCAGTATCCATCCTCTGGAGTGGGGTGGGAATCGAGATTTTGCAGTATCCTTCCCCTGCCATGCCCACCAAGCCATGCCTACCAAGCCACACCCACAGAACCGGTAGTAAAAAAAAATTGGATTTCACCACTGGGCGGCACACATGTGCACGTGTGCCAGCCCGCTACTTGCGCAGGTCAGTTCCCCTCCCCCAGCCTGGTCACCAAGCCATAAACGTTGGGGACCGCTGGTCTAGGAGTTCTAGCCTTTAGACATGAAAACTGGCTTGGTGATCTTGAGTCAGTCATTCTCTCTTGCCCCAACTCACCTCACAGAATGGTTGTTATGGGGAAAAGAGGAGGAGGAAAGGGCGTTGCACATATTTGCCACCGTATTTGTAAAAATAATAAAGGTGGGACACAATTTTTTTAAAAAAATCTATATCAAAGAAAGTCTGAAGTCATTCTTTCTTTCTTATTTTTTTTTTTCTTCTCTCTTCCCCACACTTTCACTCTTTTTCTTTCCTGGGCTTTTTTTTTTTTTTTTTCAATTTTTCTTCTTTTTTTACTTTGTGCTTAGAAAATCAACAGTTCTATTTAAAAAAAGAGAGATCTTGAAAGTGAGGGTAACTTCTGGATCGTGTTGGAAGGAGAAAGCCTCCAAACACCAGTTACTGGGGAACACTGGCAGGAGGAGAATATGTTCCTGTCTTCTGTTAGTAAGCATCTTGGATGCATCCAACTGGTCACTGTGAGAAACAAAATGCTGAACTAAGAACATAATAGCACTGCTGATTCAGCCCTTGGCCTATATTCTCTCTTCCAGAAAATGCTGGACTGTCCTTCCCACCATTTATGTACATGTGGTTTGAAGGTGATGGGAATTGTTATCCAAAACCATCTGGAGGATACCAGATTTTGGAGAGGGGGTGGGTGGGAGCTGGCATCAAGGTTGAAGTCTGAAACAAAAAAAAAATCCAAAAATGTACGGAGGAGTAAAAATGTACTTCAAATGGCACACATCTGTTTATAAGTAACCAAAGAGAAGAAAAGAAAGGAAAGCTGAAGTGTGATTGTAAATTCACTTTTCCACATGGCTATCGATTTATTAAAAACCCTGAAACAATTTCATTTCTGTCCTGACACAGAGACAGTGGTATAAAATCAAAACATTTTAATAGCATATGTGCCATTGGTTTAATAAAGCAGCTTCCCCCCCCCCTTCCCGGCTGATGGACCTGCAATTCCCAAAATGGATGTGAGAGTCTTGATTATACTTCAATTACAGTAATTAAAAGCCTTATAACAGAACAGTTATGCCAAACTCTAAAACCCAAGTTATTATTGAATAAGTGCTTGTCCTAATTAAGTGCCAGATAAACTTTGTGCTGTTTGTCCTGCAACAGAAAAATGGCGCTCCCCTCTCTGCAGCCACGGGACGTAGATTAAGGGGGTTGTGAGCAGGCATGATATCCAGCCGGTTCTATCCAGTTTGGGCAAACTGGTAGCGGCGCCTGTGGGAGGCTCCGCCCATCCATGTGAACGTCATGATGTCACTTTTTTGTGACATTTTAAGCCGCTGCGCATGCGCAGAAGGCTTTGCGCATATGCAATGATGGCATGCACGAACTGAGCAAGTACGCGCGCAACACGTGCGCATCGGCAAACTGGTAGGAAAGGTAAGTAAATTTCACACCTGGTTGTGAGCCGTTTGCTGCCTGATTTAGGGGGGTGCAATAGCTCAGTCATTAGAGATGCTGAGATTTTCAGCTAGCTGACAGCTTGATTTCAAGTCCCAAGTGCTACACAATGGTGAGCTTCTGTTCCTTGCCCCAGCTCCTGCACACTTAGCAGATGAAAAACATGCAAATGCAAATAGATTAATAGATACCACTTCAGAGGGAAGATAACAGTGTTCCATGTGCCTTTGGCACACAACCATGTCTTCAGACATTGTCTTCAGACAACACTGGCTCCCTTGGCCAAGAAGTGGAGGTGTGAGCACCATGCCCTAGAATCAGACATGGCTGACAGGGAAATTTTTTGTCTTTTTTATTCCAGATCTATCTGAAAGGTAATCAGAAAAGTTCACTCCTGTCGGGGGTGCCTGGGCTGGCCCGAGTGCTCTGCCAGTAAAAATTGCCTCCTGCAACCCTCTGCCAGCGAAAACGGAGCTCGGGAGGGCCATGTGCTGGCAGAAGCACTGCGGGCCGGTTCTTCGCTGTTTCCAGGGCGGCCCTGCTGGTCAGATCTAAGTACCCCGCGGGTCGTATTCGGCTCCCGGGCTTTGAGTTTGACACCCCTGAGGTAGAGGCAACTGTGTTGGAAATGATCCAGGTAGTCCCCAAAGGCTGAATGTTCTCAGAGTCCAAGATCACTATGCTTGTGTATAAAGAGTATCATGGAAGGTGGGGGTGGTAGATATGGATTGAAGAATTGAGGGATGAAAAAAGCAAATGGGGAACTGGAAGTACTTCATACTGCAAGGTTTGATTTCAGTTCCCACGTGAGATTTTCTTGGTGCACATTCAAAATGATAACATCCAGGATCAATTAATCTCATCAGGGCACTGATGATATTATCTAGCCAGGTAATGAAATGTCTGCAAGCAACCATCCAAGCTCAAAAAGCACCAGAGAGTCCACAAGATCTGTTTTTCAAAAGAACCTACACTTTAAAAAAGTAGTTTTTGATTCCACTTCTAAGGAGTTTTGCAGTCATTACTTTTTCCAGGAATAAAACCAATGGCATATTAAATAGAAAAGATAACAATGCCAGTTAATACGAATGTCTGACATCATATTACTTTTTTAATCTTTAGAGCAGGGGTGTCAAACTGGCAGCCTGCAGGCCAGATGCGTCATACTCAGGCCACGTCCACCCCAGCTCCGTGAAGGGGAAAAACATTGCGAAACATCATGTGACAGCAATGTGATGCCGTAAGTGTGACACCCATGCTTTAGAGCATCATCTTTCATTAAAAGGCATATTTGTTGAGCTAGAGTCTCAACCACGGTTGTCAAACTCACGGCCCACAGGCCGGATGCGTCACACGCTGGCCACGCCTAATTTAACAAAGGGGAAACAGTCCTGATATGTCACGTGATGCTGCCATGACGATGCGAGTTTGACACCCCTGGTCTAGACACACCAGATTATTTTGATTTTTCTGGAATACCCAGACAAAAACATAGAATAGCTGGCCTTATAACTTGTTCGGGTCTTTTCCCGTGTAAGATTGAGAGTATCTTGGCGACGTTTCGACAAGGTCCCATTCGTCATCTTCAGGCTGGTGTCTTCGGCTTCAGGCTGGTGTCTTCAGCTGAAGACACCAGCTTGAAGATGACGAGTGGAACCTCGTCGAAACGTCGCCAAGATACTCTCAATCTTACACGGGAAAAGACCCGAATACACCAAAACTTGTATACCTCTATCCGTGAAAATCTACAAAAACATATATATATATATATATACAATATATATATACAAATATATATATACCGTGTTTTCTCAAAAATAAGACCCTGTCTTATTTTTTTTTCAACCCTGAAATAAGCGCTTGGCCTTATTGCCATGTGCTCAAATTTGTACCCAGATGACACACTGATTGATTAATGATATAATGTTTGTTTTAAAAGAAAAAATAAAAAACTTTTTATTTTAAAAAAACTTGTCTTATAACCCAAAATTTACACTGTCGCATTGGCAACAAACTCATTCCTCATTAAAGAGGAATTGCTAAGCTCCCAATTCACATCAAGCCATGTTAAGTAAGGTGAATTCCCATCCTTTCAACTCCATCTTACAACAGCTGTTGTTTTTAATAGAGTCAAGCTGTTGCTTGCACCGAGAGGGGAAACGTTTGCACCTTTTGGAACAGAGCAAATTTAGCAGCCTTCAGAAGTGCACCACTTGTTTGAAGGGATCCACATGCCTGTAATACAATGCAGATGTTTTGAAGTAGTTCCCCCACTGGTGCATTTCCCCCTCTCTTATCCACTTTTATTTCATTTCCCCCCTTTCTTTCCACTTCATATCCTTGAGATGATTTCTCAAGTACAAAAAAAAAAAAAAAACCAAAAAAATCCTGTCAAGATTTTACACCAGAGCCATAGCTAGATTTGAAAGGTCACTAAATGAACTGTTGTAAATTGAGGATTCCCTGATGTACTTTTTCTGAAAAATAGTTCACCCTATTTTTTTCCGGGAAAAAAAATGTTGGGGAATAAGAAACCTTTTGTTACATGCCTGTGCAAAAATATTCACATTTCTTTTTTAAAAAAATCTGTTTGGTCTACTTTCTCTATGATACCTTAAGTACTTTTATTATCTTTATTTTTTGCCACCTACTTGCTTTCTTGCTTGACTGGGATTATCCATGTGGCTAATCAGGCATCGTGGATTAAAAAGTACAAGTCATAATATTACACAGGTAATCAGGTTTCACTTTGGAATTATGTCAGTGAGAGGAAGCAATATCAACTGAGAATGAGGGTAATTACTGAGATAATTACATTTATGGTCCCAACCACTCAGGGAACACACCGTGATGATGTCACTATGCTGTATGCTAGCTGTAAAATTACATGGGTGATAGCAAATGAAGCTAACACAGATCATGGATTTCCCTAGGTAGACAAGGATGGGGCAAGCGTGCATCGCACTGCAAACTTCTTGATTTATGTAGGGCACCCACAGAGGTGGGTTTCAGCAGGTTCTGAACCGCTACCAGTTCTGGAGAACCGGTAGCGGAAATTTTGAGTAGTTCGGAGAACCAGTAGTAAAAATTCTGACTGGCCCCGCCACCATCAATTCTCTGCCTCCCAAGTTCCAGCTGATCAGGAAGAAATGGGGATTTTGCAGTAACCTTCCCCTGGATTGGGGAGGGAATGGAGATTTTACAGTATCCTTCCCCTGCCACACCCACCAAGCCATGCCACACCCACCAAGCCATGCCCACAGAATCGGTAGTAACAAATTTTTAATCCCACCACTGGGCACCCAACAGTAGAATTATGAATACAAAAGGTATGGGGTTATGTCATTTTATGGTAATACATATTTCAACAATGGTCTGTTAGCTCGTTTTGTCATTGTGGTTTGCGACAGATGCCTAAGACTCAGATAAAAATCAAGAAGGCAAACTCTTTGATGAAAAATAAGTACTTTTTTTTCCTTTCTCTTTCAAAGTTTTAAAAGCAGCATAGACCAAAGTGAAAACTTTGGTGAAATGATTAGAAAATGTTTTGCTGTGTCCTGACTAGGGTTAGCGATAGAGAACCATGCTGGTCTGCAGTGGCGTAATTCATTTCTCCAGCAGTGTCATGTACGAACATGTTGCCTCTGATTCTGAGGACGGCAAAATGTTTCCTGACTGGCAACCACAAGCAGCCATCTTGTATCCCCAGGAGTTTGACTAATCCCCTTTTTGATGGCCTGCACTTCAAAGGGTGGAGGCCTGTCCTATAATTTAATAATGTGTTTGATGGGGGAAAAAAAACTTGTTTGTCTTGAATCTCCCCAGCTTCATTTGATTCCTTCAAAAAGAGACTGTCATGTTTTATTTTTATTTTATTTTATTCTGTTTCCCTTTACTCATCTTTAAAAATGAAAAAAAAGAATTAAATATTCCAAGGGTACAGCTTTCTCTTGTGGAGGAGTTTCTTCCTGTCCCTTGATCATTTTAATTCAAACCTGCTGGGGTTAGACACCTACTGTTGGAAATGGGGCTGCTCTGTCATGATGAAAAGCTTGCTGTAGCTTCAGGAGGAACTTGTTTTAAGAATCTGCCACTCTCCTGCCATGACACTTTTAATGTGTGGGGTTTCAGGATCCAATGGACTTCTAACATCCTTATTCTTTTGTTGTGTGCTTTGATGGCCTTGCATAGATTTTATTACTAGTGGCTCTGTGAGTGAGATGGGTGTTTTCCAAATCTGATATATTAACCAATCAATCAATAAAATTATTTATATCTTATTTGGGTAGCTTATTTTAATTTTGGGACTTCAGGAATAGTACATATTAAGTTTTAATAAATCACATTATCTCAAGTGTTGAATTTTGCTGTCATTTCTAAAAGTTGTGAAGGAGAAAGGCATATATAACAGGAAATGCTGATATGGCAATATTGGTTTTATTTTGCCCTTTAAAAATTAACATAACTTTTGGTAAGATAATACAAATACAGCTATTTACTGACAGCTTTGCAAGAATTTCTGCTGTTTATAGTATTATCATGTAAAATGTATAAAAACCACATGAAATGATTTTAAAAATATCAGCATCTCTTTCCTGGGTATTTCAGGAACATTTCTACAAATTTAAGTTTCTGCTCAAGAGTTCCGTTTTAATTGCTTTTCTAATCACCATCAGATAGGCTGCTATCTAATCTCTGAATGTAAATTATTACGAAGGAATGGAATGAACACTCACAAACAGCGTCTCCCAATCTTTCTTTCCCAGACTTCATCAAGATCCCAGTTCACGACAAGTGAATTGCATGAACTGATTTCTACTTGACGGCGCTGATCTTGGAAACATCTGGGCTCCAAGCTATAAAGCATTTTGAATTTTGGGCTCAGGAGCCTCTTGAAAGCTAATGCACAGCCCACAACATGTCAGCTATCAACCACCAATAGGTGGAGTGTATCAATTGTATCATCTCAATAATCTTCAGAGGAAGCCCCATAAAGAAGAGGTCAAGGCCATGAATAATTAAAAGCACAGTTATATGAGATTGTGTTTTAGATTGGGGACACCCAGTGGTGAGATTCAAATAATTTAACAACCAGTTCTCAGCCCTAATGATTTCTTCCAACAACCAGTTCACCAAACTGCTCAGAAAGTTAACAACCGGTTCTCCCGAAGTGGTGCAAACTGGCTGAATCCCACCACTGGGGACACCCAGATTCACATGCCAGCAAAATCAGTTGTTTTTTTGACATTGGACTTTGGGTGACATTTGGGAGACATTTTTACCTAAATCTTCCCTTCCCCTTCCCCTTCCCCTTCCCTTTCTCCTTCCCCCTTCCTTCCTTCCTTCCTTCCTTCCTTCCTTCCTTCCTTCCTTCCTTCCTTCCTTCCTTCCTTTCCTTTCCTTTCCTTTCCTTTCCTTTCCTTTCCTTTCCTTCCCTCTTCACAATTTTTTTGGATACCATACTTGTTCTTGTAGGAGCCCAAAGCAGTTCTCCCCCCACCCTCTCAAAAGGGTGGAAGGAGTGGATAAGGAAAAAGAATAACCTTCACTATTACTAACAGCAGTAAAATCAAAGTCTTATAAATGGATCAAAAGAAAACTTCTCTAAAGCCTAAAATGTTCTCAAAGGTTAAAACCCTGATAGTGAGCCATATGATGGAAAGAAGGAGTTGGATTGTATCCTTCCATAACAACTTATTCCCCTTGGTATAGCAAAACTTTAGCCAGTCGGTATTGCTGAGGTTTTCTCAGAATCTCCATCAATAATATTTTAGTTGTTTCAAGTGAAGTAGTTATTATACTCAACTGCATAATAGTATGTGAAGAGTAATACAGAGAGGAACAATTATTTGCTGTACACAAACATACACTAAACAAAGATAAATAATTTATATCTTCCCAAAATGTTGCTGAGCTGCAAATCCCAGCAGCGATCGTTCCAATGCTGAGGAAGGGAAAATCCTACATAGAGAAATAGCAATAGCAATAGCATTTAGATTTATATACCACCCCATGGCACGTTATAGCACTTTCTGGATGGTTTACAATGTCAGTATTATTTGCATATTGCCCCCAACAATCGGAGTCCTCATTCCATCCTTCCAACCTCGGAAGGATGGAAGTCTGAGTCACCCTTGAGCTGTTCAGGATTGAACCCCAGGTTGTTGGCAGAATTTGCCTGCAATACTGCATTCTAACCACTGCGCCACCAGGGCTCCTGGTGAAATGGCATATTAATAGCACCATTTAATTTCACGTTAACCCACCTGAAAAGTTATTTAGACCTATTTGAATCATGACCAATCCAATTTAAGCCATCCCTTAAATTATTTATTAATCAAATTTATCATTTTTATAACTTATACGTTCAGACTGTTGAGTTGTTCCAGTTGGAATCGCTGATCTGAAAATGAAGACTGAATTAGAGTTTAAGGAATTCCATATGTACATGTCAGCATTCCCGAAAGCTGGAATCTAATCTCAGCAAGAATGAGTAAAGCTGGTTTTATAACTGTAACAGAGATTTACTTCAAAGAAATGCAGCATATTATAGACAAAGCCTCGGACCTAGCTGACTAATTCCTACAAAGAAGAAGGGTCCAGAAACAAGGTACAAAAGAGGCAGAAGTCAGTGTTCCAAATTAGCAGTCTTAGACAAAGAACAGGTTATGTGATAGAATCAGAGGTCTTCAAACTTGGCAGCTTTAAGACTTGTGGACTTCAACTTCCAGAATTCTCCAGCCAGCATAGCTCCAGCCAGCATAGCATAGCTGGCTGGAGAATTCTGGGAGTTGAAGTCCACAAGTCTTAAAGCTGCCAAATTTGGGGACCCCTGTGATAGATGAAAAGAGCAAATCCTTAAATTTCTGTCTGTAACCTACTACCGCCTTGTGGTCCATAAGTCATGAAGTGCTGAAGAGTCAGTGCTATTAGATTTGGACCTCCAGTAATCAAATTGTGAGAAACAGCCTTCTTTAATTTGGAAAATATATTTTTAAAAATGAAAGTCTGAAAGCATCCCATTTGGTCTAAATCTCATTGATTTGGAAGTGTCCAGTTAAATGATTCGATACCGAACACTTGTTTCAGTTCAGAAAGCTGATCGAATCTGGTGACTCAAATGAATTGCCTTCACATCAAACACAAGTTATTTTTTTACCAGCCCAGGATGAATCCTATGAGCAGAAGATTTGGATTTTTGTGAAACAGAGTGCATGCCCGTCACTCTCCTTGAAAAGGATTTTCTGACTAGAAGCTATAGGGGTGCACCAAAACACTGCATTTGGAGAAGACTAGAAAGTGATGTGTAGAAACTCTCAGTGAAGATAGCCATGGTCCATTTGTTCCAATAACCTCACCCCATGTTTCATAATGTGTGGATCAGCTCCATGTCAACTATGAAGTTGGCCTGAGTGAGGCCATTTTCTAACTTCAGCGTTGCCACACTGGAGCTGAGGGTTAGGGAGTGGGGGAGTAGAGATAGAGGGGGTTTGTAGCCAAAACAAAGTACTTTCTCTTGGGAACCAAGGACATTCCCACAGATGGTCAAAGAGAGGTGGAGTGACATTACCAGGCAACCGGATAACACGATGATTGGACCATGTGACTGAATATTTGGGGATGGGGAAAAACTTTTACTTTTAACTTGGTGAAAACCAAGGGAATATTCAGGGTTGGTTTTCACCAGCCTGTGCCAATATAATATTTCCAATAATCAGTTCATTGAAGAATCTGTCTGCCTCGGAGTCCTATTCATCATGGGAGTATTACTTGGAACCCTGACACTCCACATGCAGCACCATAAGGCAGTGGACACACAAGACCCTCTAGCACTGGGGTGTCAAACTTGCATCATCATGGCAGCGTCACATGACGTATCACAACTTTTCCCCCCTTCGCTAAACCGGGCATGGGCATGGCCAGCGCATGACACATCCGGCCCATGGGCCGCAAATTTGACACCCCTGCTCTAGCTCGCTCTTCTGTACACCAAGCCCCGCCCATTAATTAAGCCTCGCCCACAGAGCCAGTAGCAAAAATATTTAGATTTCACCCCTGGGGCGGGGCCAGTCAGAATTTTTACTACCGGTTCTCTGAACTACTCAAAATTTCCGCTACCGGTTCTCCAGAACTAGTCAGAACCTGCTGAAACTCACCTCTGATCCATAGAGCAGAACTCTATTATTCACATAATTTTGATGAATTACACATTTTCTCTGAAACCAAAGAGGGATATGCTGTAAATGTTTAATTGTATGCCTTGTACTATTAAGCCACAATAAAGAAATGTCACAATAAAAATGAACTGAACAGCTCCAGAAGTGGTGGAAAGAAAGCCTCTCCAACTTCAGTCTTCTTTGCATTGCTCAAGAGCTGATCTAGAGCTGTACTTCCTACTTCTGGAGGGAGACACTAAAAGAAAACTGACTTGCACTGTATGATACAATTCCAATCCTGTCTGGAAAAACTGAAGGTGTATTTCAAAGACACTGATTCAGAAAACATCCTCATATCTTCATTTTGCAAGGATTCATATTCTCTGGATTCTTCTCTCAGAGGTACTGCTCTTCTGGTTTTTTCTTGCCCTCTTGACATATCTTCGGAAAAATAAAAGAATCAAAACCACCTTCCTATCCCCAGGACCAAAATGCAGCAAACATCATAAAATCCTTTCAGCCTTTAAAAAAAGGGGGGGCTTCTACAGTCTTTTCTTTTCTTTTTGCTTGCATCCTTGTTTTATTTAGCACCAAAAGAACACTAAAGAAACCAGTGCTAGCTATTTTCTCCCAGCAGAGCTTTTTTTTGAAATCTAGCCTTCAGAACATCTTGATTCATCCAGTCCTTTTGGATTTCTCCCAATTTGCTACTTACACAACGTGTTAAGGTAGAGCCACGTGACTACATCCATAAAATAGAACTACCACCACAGCAATTATGCCTTTGTGGTTATGCCAGTCTTTGAATTGCATTTGCAAAACCAAGGCTGGATTTGTAGCGTTATTGACTTGGGAATGAGTTGTAGTCAAGATATCAGATCCAACTTTTAAGGATAGATATATAAGACTATATTGGCTTTCTGGAGAAAACATGGTCTAAAGATACACAAGGTAAGTAAAATCACTTATGGAAGGGAGGGAGGGAGGGAGGGAGAGAGAGAGGGAGGGAGGGAGGGAGGAAGGGAGGAAGGAAGGAAGGAAGGAGGAAGTCCATCTCCAAAATTATCAGCAAAAAGTCCTGAAAAAAAAACCGGGAAAAAAATTTGTTTGACATCTAGTGGCTGCAGCAGCAAACGGTACCAGTAAGAGCCCTTAAGATTCAGGTGGACATTCACAAGACCAGGAGATCGTATTTTAGGGATCCATCATCATTTGAGGTGCATCTTCCTTTCCACCAAGTCTTGTTCTTGGAGAGAAAATGGGTTTGCCCAAGGACCAAATGTGCTGCCATCCCTTAAAGATAAGCTCTGTGTCCTGCAGCTGCTGGTGAGAAGAAGGGGCACCTAATTGGCACTTCCAGCTGGAGGGAAATGGTCCACAACTAGGCAGGTTTCTAGAGCTCAGTGAGGTCATTATTAAAGTAGAACAAAATGGCAGATGTGAAGGCGTCGGCGTCCATGTTGAGCTGGTAGAACTCCTCATCTTCATCGGGAATGTTGTTGCTCTGAAGGTTCTTGTCCATGTCCAGGCAGACGCCGTGGTATTTCCATGTGTAACTGGCAGTGTACGTGTTGTAGGCAGATAGCACCTCAAGATCTCCCACATGGCTTCTTCTGAACAGACCTCAAGAGTCTGCTCCTGAGAAGTCAGAGTGTTGATGATCCAAATGTGCCAGGTTTTTGCAGACAAGATGCCAATTTTGTATACGGGATTTGAAATCCTTCAATAATCTTCCAAGCTGACAGTTTGGCAACAGAATTTCAATGATACACCAAGCCTTTGTGTTTTAGCAAGATTTTGGCACAGAGATGCAAGGGCTGTACCACAAGGCTTTTGATGACTCACGTGAGTCAGGAGAGGGGTTTAGGATCAAGCAAAAGGA